GTCTTAATGTTCTGACTGAGTTCATCATTGGCTACATGGTTCCTGGTCGCCCTATGGCCATGATGATGTTCAAGAATTACGGCTACATCTGCATGGGCCAGGCACTTTACTTTGCGCAAGATCTCAAACTTGGCCACTACATGAAGGTCCCTCCCAGAGTCATGTTTTCATCACAGCTGGTTGCCTCAATCTGGTCGGCCATTGTACAGATCTGCGTGATGAATTGGGCACTGGGTCACATTCCCGACGTGTGTGCGATTGATCAGCCCAACAACTATACCTGCCCAGGCGGTCGCGTCTTCTATACTGCATCAGTAATTTGGGGAGCCATTGGACCGGCGCGTATCTTCAGTCATGGCTCAATCTACTCATCGCTCCAGTGGTTCTGGCTGGTGGGTGCTGTCACACCAATTATCACATGGCTGCTGGCCCGCAAATGGCCTCGTTCAATCTGGCGATACGTCAGTACCCCTCTTATCTACGGTGGTGCTGGTATGTTGCCCCCAGCCTCTGTATATATTTACCTATGCTGGGGCATGATCGGTGCTTTCTTCAACCGCTTCGTCAAGAGAAGATACACAGGCTGGTGGCTCCAGTACAACTACGTCACTTCGGCGGCACTGGATTGTGGTCTCATCATGTCAACAATGGTGATTTTCTTCACCTTGTATCTGACGAGTGCTTCTCCTCCGAATTGGTGGGGTAACTATGGCGCGATGGAGACGATGGACTGGAAGACCACGGCGGTCTCGAAGACAGTTCCGAAGGGCTCGTTTATTGGACCTTCAACTTGGAACTAAGTAACCAATTATAAACAGTTCATGGGCATGGTTTTGGGAAGAAAGATTGGGATAGCTGAAGGAATTTCGAGGCGTTATGGTCTAGGCTGTTTGTTATTTGGCAATGTTTCTTACTACACGTGCGAGATACCTCAATGATGATTAATGTTCACGGACTTTTCAAGAAGTTGGTTGGATACAAGCGGGAATTTACGAGCATTTGAATTACAGCTGTGCCTTGAATTAAGATTTGAGATTCATGTTGTCGTTCAGAGCCAGTGACTTATATTGATGAAGTGACCGTTATACAAGACTCAATCAGTGGAAGCCAGGATTTCGATGATACTGGGGCTATGTAGGCCTCGGGGAGGAAGAAAATTTAAGAATTTTGAAGAGGGTGCCAAAATAAACTTAGTAAAGAGTACCCTAAGCTTGGGCTAAATTACTTGAATCTTTTTATCACTTGGCTGAGTTTTCTTTCCTCCCCTAGATAGATTATGCATTTAGTTGTAGAGGAAAGAGAGAGTGGAGATGAAATATGAGATAGACAATTTGTCGCTTCTCATATCTAGGATGGCTAAGGGGGAAAGAAGAAGAAGAGAAGAAAACCAGATCGAGATAACGTGAGAGGATATTCCTGCCCATCGTATTATACCTTCCCTCTTACATGGCATACAGTTCCCCAAGGTAGGTACCTAGATGGCATCTCCACTCTGCGCCTTCCTCAGGCAACACTTTCATAAGATGGGGATGGCATCTGCAAGGCAGGTACCTACATTGCCTTACTTAGCGCATTGGCACCTTCCATTGCAGCAAAGTACATATATGCTGTATCCTCTCGAGCCTTCAAAGGGAGAACACGAGAAACTCAATGCACCCAACACCCGTCGTACGTCTCAAAGACGCTAAATTTAGTGGTACAGCTGCACGTGACTGTAAATCCTTGCTCTTTCCCTAGGTAGGTAGTTATGCCCTAAGGCCCCACCCACCTCGCCTTCCTTGCAAATTCACTCCGGCAAAATTGATCCCAAATTGAGAAATTCTCGATCGCCATTCAACTAACCGCCCAAACACCACAGCCAAGATGAGTACGTTGCCGCTCGTCAGCTGCTCGCGAAGCGACAGCAGACGATGTTTCTCCCGAGAGCAATTAAGAGTTTCTGCTAATGCGTCTCAACAGCGAAGGGTACCTCCAGCTTCGGTAAGCGTCACAACAAGACGCACACCCTGTGCCGACGATGCGGTTAGTTCTTATGCCCTCTTGTCTCGCTGTTCAGACGCCCTCGATCTGTGCAACGGATATTCGAAATAAAGCCGACCCTGAAATTAGACGATGGCGGGAATCGAGGGATATCTGAACGGCGAGGCTTGGAAACATCAAAATGGACGGAAATGCTGATGGGATCTCAAATAGGTCGCCGCTCTCTTCACGTTCAGAAGCATGAGTGCTCTTCTTGTGGCTACCCTGCTGCCAAGATCCGCAAGTGTACGTGAACTTCTCACATGTGGCGTCGATAAACAGATATCGAGTGCTCGACGCTCTTGGACAGCATTACTGACTGCATCGACAGACAACTGGTCCGAGAAGGCTAAGCGAAGAAAGACCGTCGGTACTGGCCGCACTCGCTACCTGAAGGATGTGTCCCGACGATTCAAGAACGGTTTCCAGACTGGTACCCCCAAGGGCGCTCGAGGCGTTAATGCCGAGAAGGCCTAAATGGGGAGCGCATCCCTTCTGATCCCTTCCACCACCTCTCCAGCCAACCCCTCTTCCACCATGGACGTTTAAAACACCCGCTCCTTCGAGAACATACAGCAGCAATGGCGGCTCATAACAGGAGCCTAGGCCCAAGGACAATCTGGTTGGAACCGGAGTTAAGGTGGTGATTGGGACGGGCGGTCGTGTTTTTCGGTTCGTGGATGAAAGGAGCGTAAAGATGCGGCTTGGAGCATGGGCATGGTGTTTTACATGTTTGAGCAAGGAAGTTAAAAAAAAAGGACCCTTTTGCTCTTCTGAGATTCCATAGGGTTTCGGTTACGAGGTTCTGAAATGGCATCTTGATTCTGCATGAACGTACCTGTGGCCACTGAGCGGACATATGTGAGGAAAAGTTTTGGTCGTCTGTCGTGGAAATTCACGTCTCGTGCATGACACCCTATTGAATGTATTGAATGAGGTACGGCCTGCAAACTGAAAGTTCTTAAGCGGCGGTTCTGAGACTGACATTCCGCAACTGCCACTAGAATTGCCCTTGACTTTGGTTGTGGTTTCTATTTCATATTGATCATGTCCCTCTTTCAAAGACCCTAACCCCGCCGTCCGCAACAACATGATATAAATACTCAGTAGCACCACCCAAGCCCTCTGCTCCAGGTCCTGTAATGCGCACTACTCCGCTGACATCCCTTGCTGTTCCTGTATCAAGCATCCGTAGGGCCAACACCATGTCAGCTTCATGTGCTGAAGAAAGCACGAGGCTGGCGTGCTCTCGCTCGAGCGTCGTAACTTGGCTAGCAACAAGAGGCACGTCGGCTGACAGAGTGAGTAGCGTACTGTGAACAAGCTGCGAAGGATTTAGCGAGTGACACACTTCTTCTAAGCCGACTTACACTTCGTAGGCTAAGAACGGCGTTTTGAAGAGTGAGACTTGTGGTTGAGTCATCCGTGACAGCGAGGAGCGCATCAAGTTGGTCGATAATAAGGATCTTACGCGACGCACGTAAATCCGCGACAGCGCCTTCAATTTCTCTCTTGATATCTGCAAGCTCCGTACTCCTAAGAGTTCTCTCTTTTCGTGTGCCTGGCACACCGGTCTTAGCCTCACCATAAAGTCCTGAGAAACCGTCGATGAATGTGAAGCGTCCTGCTCTGTTTAGGGCATCTAAGTCAAGGCCCTGGCCGATATCAGTATTTGCCTGCACAAATGGTCTATTGATCTGTGAACTTGTTACCAATTTTGTAGAGCCCTCTCTCCAAAAGGCACCATCTCTCATGAAGCTCAGCAGTATGACGCCTGTGTCCTTGGTGCTCTCATCCCCATCTGTACTACCTCTCAGGTATGAATACACATGGCGCAGAACCAGCCAGTTCGCGCTTGCACCAAGCACGCTGGTGACAATATTGAGCGAGGACTCTGGAGGTAGAGAGATGTAGGGCTCCAGAAGATGAGGTATCCGTGAAGTAGAAGCCATTTCGGGATTGAAATATTAGAGGTAATTATTGAGTTGATACAAAATATTCTGAGGGTTGAGTGGCACTGTGCGAGAAATTCAGTGCCTACCTACCTTAGGTAGTGGAGCGAGAGGAGACCATAGGGAGGTGATAGGCAAAACCAACGCCAACTACCTATCACATATTGAAACTTTGAACTATGAAGAAGACTTATGAATAAGCATACTCCAGTCTGGGATATGAATGAGTAGGAGTCTGTGGGAGGAGTTGTTTTCCATCTGTTTGATCACGGTTTGCAAACTTGACCGTTCAAGGAGGGGCGAAGCTGAAAATCATTGCAGATTTAACCTTGACACTCACCTCTAATCTCTGAGAGGGAATATTCAACCTCGCCTTACCAGAATGAACTGTTCTACCGTCGCCATCAAATCCATCAAAATTCTCAAGCCTGCTAACGCTCACGAGAAGATGGTGTGTCTATGTCTAAGTACCTAGCTTCCCATTTCCTTAAGACTGGGCTGGCCGAATCTTCGGCTGGTAACTTGCGTATGACACGAATTTGTTCGCGGATTCTAGAACCTCAATAACTGGCAAGGCTTCGTTTGAATCGATGGGTTTCATTTGGCCGGACAATAACATCCAATAGTCAAGGTAGCGAGTACATTGCCCTGGAATAGCAGTGCCATAGAGAGGGATGTGACGGGATTCATTGGGCCAAGCCTGCATCATATCCTTGAGTATGGTGCTTGACATTTGATATTGGCCGAACACACAAACGCCAAGGTTGATATCTCTTCCTGCGCCAGATCTTTATCTGGAGGAAGTGACCGAGAGCGAGTAATGACGAGCATGTCCACTATTTGAAAAGAGTAGATTTTAGGCAACAGATGCCAGTCCGACGTGGTGATGCCGCTCGAGCATTTGTGATGGGTGCTATTGATGCTCGTAAGTTTCTGGCTGTGATATTTTTGGCATGGCTCAGAGTGCAGAAAATATCCTAGAAACGCGTCTATTATACAGATCGATCATTGATGAGTTTTGATGTTGCCTCATTTGCCAAACAGACCTCCAAAGATAGACGAACCGCCTCCTCCTCCACGGCCACCATGTCTCCTGGCTTCAGTTCGGATCCATTCCTTCAGAAACTCCCTGTCGGCGAGCTTTCTGGCATCAGATAGCTTCGTCGTTGTTTGTGCCTCTCCACCATCGAAACTCAAGAGCGTGGGAATGCTGGTGATCATATAAGTCATGGCTAAGTTGGGACTCCCTGACATGATATCCGGTGAATCAAACTCAACAGTCGCGAGAGACACACCTCCCTCCTCCTCGCCGACGCCAGACTCGACAAGATCTCTGATGAGAGGGCTTACGACTTTGCAGGTTGAGCACCATGAGGCGGTCCACAGGGTCAGCAGGGGGGTCCGGGACGATGTCGAGAGTGAAAGGTGGGTTGAGAAAGAGTCATTGTTGCGGATACTAGCTGGCGGTCAACACCCAAGCTATTTCTCGGCAGAGGGAGACAAAGACAGCGATCGACAAATGAATTGCAAGGGGGGGAACATGTGCGGAGACATGTGATCTATCAAAGCAAGCAATTTGACTTACGGGGCGTATATCTGGTTCTTGGCTTGTCGCGATGTAGTTGACGAGATCAAGGCTCGCTGGAATGAACGAGGAGGTAGCTTCTGTGCCTTATTACAGAAAGGGCGGAGCCCAGTGCGTAAGGTGAATGTGTGCATTATAATCTTGGAGATGAACCACAGCCTCAATAGCCAAAGCTGAAAGTGCAATTGGACCTAAAATGCTTCGGTAGAATGGAATTCAAGCGAAGATTTGGAGGTGAGACATGGTGGTAAGACGCCCATGTCAGGAATGATGTAATGACCTAGCGACAGGACCCTTCACAAGGTGGGGGATGCATTGTTTACTGGGGCAGCTGCAGTGCGATGGGCCAGTGGTGAGCCTGCAAAGAAATACTGCAGAGTGCCGACCGCACGGGACACCGTTTAAACAACAATAAGTCGGTCACGCGTGCAGCATCTATAGAAGTGAAACTTGGTTTAACCTGGAATCATCCTTAGTTATGGCACTGCCGCCGCTCCCGCCAAGTGGCCAACAGGATGATGGATCCTTTGTCACCAGGCCTAGGGCCATGGGAGTGGAGTAAGAGTTGAGCCTGGTGATCCAAACGTTAACCTTACTCGCGTTATCCGTCGTGTAGGTAGGTAGGTAGACGTCCCTTATCAGGGAGAAGCATGGAGACCTTCCTTACTTATAACCCTACCGCCTCGTCGCGTATTGTTTCTTGTAAGGATATACTCCTCACAGCGAGCCAAAGTGGCACATCTTCTTCATTTCTTCCATCTTTTTTTTTAACCTCGTCCGTTGTATGATTATAGACCGAGTTTGGTTTTTTGTCGTATACCTTTTCATACGACTTGCAGCTGGTGACGACTCGAAAACTCCACAATTATTTGGACCCTGATGCCTTCCATCGCTTCGCGACGAAACTGACTGGATTCTCAACTCGATCTCACTCACCTATAAACAAATTCCATCATCCATGATTCAATCTCCCTAACCTAGAACTCTGTTTCCAGCCTCACTTTGTTCCCTCCCCTCGAAGACGCGCCCTACATTAGAAACTTTGTTTCCCCCTATATCATTATCCACTTGGCACCTACAATCGAAGTATCCATCAAGGTCTATCCCCCCTCTTCAAGAATCCTATCAAGAACCCTCTGTACACATCAGAAGTGAAATTCAAACTCCAGTTTTCATTTGCATATTGACTTGAAAAAGTCCTCCTAATGCAGTCAGAGAAATCAGATGTGCCCAGGTGGCGACGCTTCCTGGGCGGCAGCGGCGGACCTGCCGGTGCCAGGCCAGACGAATCGTACGGACCTTCTAGATGGAGCATGGGTGTTCTGAACGATAAAAAGACTATTGAAGTTCCAGGTAAGCTCAGAAACTCACGTGTTTCTTTCTACATCAAATTCGCAAGACTGACGCGTTATAGGTTCTGTGCTTCTTCTGGCATCACATCGTAATGAGCCTCTTGGTCTGCGAAATGTGCACGCCAGAACCTCTCACTCATCTATTCCTGCTGGATTTCCTGTCGATACACGAAGGACATCAGCCTCATCAGCAGCGGCGGCGGCTGCTGCTGCCTCAGTAGCGGAGAGCCATGCTCCCCCCGACGAGAGTGACGGCAAGAAGAAAACAAGCGATGGGGCTATCATCCTAGAACCACAGCCTGAAGAATCAGGAAATGATCCTTTGAACTGGCCTGCTTGGAAACGAGACATTGCTCTTTTGTCGCTTGGTTTCTACTGCATGATTGGCGGCGGCACAACTCCCATTGTCGCCGCTGGCTTCACCGACGTTGCAGAGACATACAACGTTGATGTCGAGAGGGTCGCTTTGACCACTGGACTTTACATGATGGGAATGGGCCTCGGATCCGTTGTATTCTCGCCAACCGCTATTCTATGGGGTAAACGCCCAGTATATCTGGGCAGTGCAATCCTGTTCATTGGGACGTCACTCTGGGCAGCATGGTCTCCAAGCTTTAATTCTCTCCTCGCGGCCAGAGTCTTTCAGGGTTTTGCCGTTAGCCCTGTTGAATGTCTCCCATCAGCCACAATTGCCGAAATCTTCTTCCTCCATGAAAGAGCCTACCGCATTGGTATCTATACTCTTCTTTTGCTTGGCGGCAAGAATCTGGTCCCCCTTGTCAGTGCCGTCATCATTGGCGGTCTCTCGTGGCGTTGGGTTTTCTGGATCTTGGCCATGATTATTGCCTTTGGTGCCGTACTGCTCTTCTTGTTTGTCCCGGAAACCTTTTGGGATCGCACCCCCCACGCAAGACCTAAGCATCCATCCAAGCGTCCAAGTTTTCTTCGCCGGCTCTCGTCTCGCCATGCGGTTCCGCAAACGGGTGGAGAGGGTCTACTTCAGGGTGAGCCTGAAGCGCACTTCGCAGATGCGGACCATGCTCAAGATGGACGCCAATCACCAGCTGCTCTTCATCGAGGCCGGGATCTCCATGTTGGTTTTGCTGAGTCTGGCGACGCTGCTGAAGAGGCCGCAGCACCTGTGACTCCAATTTCGCCTAAGGCAGTGGTCCATCCGTCTGGTAAGAACCCAGCTGCCCCAGGGGATGTGGACAGCACGACTGGAAGTGAGTCCAACAATGCGTCTTTCAAGCTAGGTCCAAACCTCGAGAACGAGAAGTTGGATGCCTCGCAGCTCCAGGGCCCGCCCAAGATCCAGGCCTACACACACAATCTCCGTCAGCAGCCTCCAAAATCATTCGTTCAACAGCTTAAGCCATGGCATGGAAGGCTGAACAGTGACAGCTGGCTCAAGGTCATGGTCCGTCCTTTCATCCTATTCGCATACCCAGCGGTCCTTTGGTCATCTGCTGTGTATGCTTGCTCTGTGGGTTGGCTTATCGTCATCTCTGAGTCGATTGCCATGATATACCGCGACAAAGATTCTTATAATTTCACCGCGCTCCAGACAGGCTTAGTGTATATCTCGCCTTTTATCGGTGGTATCCTGGGAACTGGTGTGGCTGGCAAGGTCAGTGACATTATCGTCAAGACCATGTCGAGGCGTAACGGTGGACTCTACGAGCCTGAGTTCCGTCTTGTCATGGCCCTTCCCATCCTTATCAGCACATGCATAGGCCTCATGGGCTTTGGCTGGTCCGCAGAAGAAAAAGATCATTGGATGGTCCCTACCTTCTTCTTTGGAGTTGTGTCATTTGGGTGCTCACTTGGATCAACTACATCCATCACATTCTGTGTGGACAGCTACCGCCAATACGCCGGAGAGGCTTTGGTGACGCTTAATTTCTCAAAGAATATCTTACATGGGCTTGTTTTCAGCCTCTTCGTTACGCATTGGTTGCATGGGGATGGCCCGAAGAAGGTGTATATCTGGATTGGTGTAATCCAACTGCTTCTAATGCTATGCACAATTCCTATGTACATCTACGGCAAGAGGGCACGTATGTGGACTGTTCGAGCAAATTTGATGGAGAAGTTCTGATTTCCAATGGGCATTGCTTGGAGTTTTGACACATTTACCGCATGAGACAGAGCGCACCGCATGATCCTTCACTTTGATGATACGGAGTTTGTCTATTCTGTTATTACTTACAACATATGGCCTGGCACGCAAGTGCTATTGCATTGGCCACCGAGGCCCAGTATGATTAGAATGAATATTTCTGTTGAGATGGCGATCGGTGATGTTATTGATAACATATTTGTGCATCCATTAACTCAGCTGTCGCTGGTGATTTCTATCGAAACCCATGCAATAAGAAACTAGCCTAACCGTTTGACAGCTGATTCCCACGCCTTTGCCTTGATGGACGTCCTCCTCCCGGTTCCGATCTCAACTGCCACAATAGATCGGGATATGCAGCTGGAGTCTTGTGGGCCTGCCCCTATCGACTTTCGTCAAGCGCCCAGAACTGACAAGCACAATAATGAGAAGTCACCAGGTGATATCGCGACTTAATGGCGTTTAGATGCTCATACTACGTAAGGGGTATGCCCTGATCCAGCCACGTTTTATGGCATTTGAGTATTATGAGTTTAGCTTTCATCTTTACAGGCTCGGGAAAGGGGCTAGAATTTTTATAATCAAGTATCATTAACTAAACGCTGTCTTTTTCTTTCCGGTTTACCCCTTGATGCACAACCCTCAGATTTCAGGTCATCGACAAGAAGCGGCTCACGACTCGAAAACCTTTGTTTGTAACAGAAAAAGCTTATCAGAGCACACGACAAAATAGTCTCCGAGAGATACCAACTTGTTGTGATCGAACTTGATCATAGTTATACGTCCCGTATCAAACAATATCATAGCCTCTCTGGGGGGCTTCTCAGATGATCATAATCAACTCATTGCCAGCCATTTCATGTTCACCATGATACAACAACACTGGAGTGAGAGTGAATCAAGACGAGTAACCGCTATCCTACACGTAAAAGTGCCAGTCGTCTGCATCTAAGCTCGGATCCTCAGGCAACGGTTTGGCGGATATTGACCGCGATTGCCAAAGCTGCGGCACAGATTCTGGTGTTCATCCCTCTCTGGCTACGGTGATTTGTAAGGTTCCGGGTGATTAATTTTAACATCAAAGTGAGATCGAGGCTGAGGGCTTATAGTAATGGGACACTAATATACCAAGGTACTGTTAGATAGACCTGTTGCCTCCTCTATTTACTATTTGCTATATTTATTAGTTATATTTATATATTTCCTTAAATGCAGTTTACCTATAAAGTAAACCTAAAGAACCTTCTAGAAGTCTAGCTAGGCTATATAAGCCCTAGCTTTTTTTAATCTAGATAGATAAATTAAGTTACTTCTTATATCTTAACTAGTTATAAGCCTGGCGTAATTACTACTAAGTATTTTCTTTTTTTTTTTTTTTTCTATCCTTAAGGATAAATATAACTTTTTTTTTTTCTTTTTTAGTAGTACTATACTTTAAGATAGTAAATAATAATATTACTATTAATACTTCCCTATTAGAGAATAATAAGCTTATAGGGAAGAGTAATTACCTTAACTAGTAATAATACTTTAATAGAGTTACTAAGGCAAGTAATATTTAGGATATTTATATTAAGAAAGAACTAATCTTAAGTAAACCTAAAGAAAAGGATTATATCTTTTACTTTAATCCTTAGTTAACTTTAAAAATAGAATCTAA